CAAACGGTACAAACCAAATCATACTATATGATCAGCATATAATTAGTATCTTCTTAACTTCTAGCAGCTAGGGATTTGATAGAGTACAATAAATCGTATAATAAAAAATAGGGTCATACATTATAAAGAAAAAAATCATACGGTATAATGTATAAAAAAAACTCTCTCAAAAACATTTTTCTCTCTCCCTTTGTGTGCTTGGAAGGTTACTCAATAAAGAAATTCACCTAATTATATAATATCATTCAAGAAAGGAAAAAAATATAGAATAAATTAAAAATTGACTGTAACCCTAGTCTACCTAGTCTTTAGTTGATTAGAATTGTAACTGAACAGTGGACTGATTTCCTGAAATGTTTTTTTTTGAAGAAATGCATCACAATTGCATTAAGCAAAAAAGAGGCTAATTACAATTGTTAAGAAGAAAAAGGATCACATTCCTCCTTGATTGAATTCAATAACAAGGGATGAATGTTATTAAAAGAAAAGCTATCAAAAAAGAAGAAACTATTTAAAGCCATAGTAGCACATAAATTGGCTACCTTATTACATCTTCTATGAACATGTTGAAAAACCACTTTATGAAAGACATTGAAGAAGAAGAGCTCCTCATACGGCCAGCTATCCACAATCCACTTATTCTTTTTGAAAGAATATTGTATGAAAGTAATAATATTGAGGTTGTCACTCTCAATAATCACCCCTTTGTACTCAAGCATCCAACTCCTAATGTATTCCCTAACCGAGAATACATCCTCCAACTCGAGTTTAGCAATGTCCCAATGGACTTTATTTTTCCCAAAAGCAAGAATAAACCATCCCTTATGATCTCTGAAGATGCCACCGATTCCAGCATAGTTAGAACTAAGCAATGACGCATCTAAGTTGATGTTCATCCAGTCTTTCAGAGGGGGGCACCAAGACTCACGAGACTCCCTAAGGAGATTAGTACCCCAGTTGGAAAGATGTGAACTAGCTTTAGTAATGGCCAAAGACAAAGCATTTGAAGCTACCACAGAATATGGCAAAGCAGCTTTACCATGTTTCACATCATTCCTATTCTTCCAATATAGATAAACAATAGTGCAAAAGATTTTAACAATACCAGGATTTCGAGAGGTTAGCCTTCTTAGCTCCTGCAAACAGTAGTCTAGTGATTGGAAAACTAGAATGGAAATGCCCCACTCAAGCATTTGATTAATAACTTCAACCACATATTTGCATTGGACCATAATGTGTTCATAACTCTCAACTGCATTACAACCTCTAGCACAAGAATTATCCACAGCAATCCTGCGGTAATTAAGAAACAGGATTGTAGGAATTGCAGATCTCCCAAGCCTCCACCAGAATATCTCCACTTTCTTGTTAAGTTTGAGTTTATAAAGACACTTATAATAACCCTCATCATCCATATTGAATTTACAATTCAACATATACTCAAAAGACAGAGTAGACACTGACTTACCCGAGCACATGCTCAGCAACTCCATCCGGTCCTCCAAACTGAAATCTGTCTGGATTTGACTGATCAACAGGATAAGATCAGGATGGAAAACATCCTGAAGCAAAGCATAGTTCCATTAGCCTTCATTCAATAACAATTGGTGTACATACATTCCTTCTAAAGAAACACAATCCACAAATGTTGGCCACCAGTTAATGCACTTGTATAATAACCAGATCTCATTCAGCACATTGATCTTATCCCCACTACCAATCTTCCATCTGGTTATGTTCTTCAGCTGTCTCCCCGATCAAGAAGAATATTCCATGCATTTGACGTTACCTTATTGTGTGTACCAGTCATTATCTCATCCCCATATTTGTGCTTGATAGTTCTACGGAAAAGTGTCTATGGTTTCTGAAAAAAATTCCAAGCCAATTTTGATCTCAAAGAACTAATCCTCATAACAGGAGATTGAAGTCCCATTCCACCCATACTTCTCAGTTTGCACAACTCTCCCCAAGCCACATAATGCATACTATGGTTTCCACCAGGTTTATGCCAAATGAAACTTCTACTAAGTTTTTCCAACTCATACAAAACTTTTTTAGGAACCAAAGAATGAGTTACTAAAAAGTTTGGCATAGACAACAAAGAGCTAGTAATGAGAGTAATCTTACCTCCCAACGGTAATGACTTCTTACCCCATGCATTGAGCCTATCCATGACGTTGCTCAACACTTCTTGAAAATCAGCCATCTTTAATCTATTAAGGGACATCTTAATCCCTAGGTAGCTCATCTCCTTAACAATTTTGTAACCAAACAATCTGGCAATCTTCTTCTTTATTGGATATCCAACCACCTTGCCCAAGAGAATATGAGATTTACTGACATTGATCCTTTGGCCTGTCCATTTGCAAAAGTCTTCAACAATAGCCTTCAAAGATTTAGCAAAAACCATGGAGACATGAGAGAAGATTAACACATCATCTGCATAGAGAAGATGTGTAATCCTAGGGCCTCTAGGAGAGGCTCTAATACCGAGATCCTGTCCCCTCTGCTCTAGAGAATTAGAAACCAACTGGAAGCACATGATGAAGAGATATGGAGAGAGTGGGCATCCTTGATGGAAGCCACTTTGAGCATCAATCCAATCATAATTCTTCCCATTAATAATGATGGAAAATCTCACATCGACTACACATTCCATGAGAAGGTTTGAGAACATAGAAGGAAATCCATACCAATTAAGAATTTGATCAAGTGCAGGCCACCCCATGCTGTCATAAGCCTGCTCCATATCTAGTTTCAAAGCCATCAATCCCTTCTTATTCTTGGAGATTTTGAACTTGTGAAAGATCTCCTGAGCCAACAAACAATGCTCAGAGATAGACCACCCCGGAAGAAATTCCATTTGCTCTTCAGTGATCATTTTGGAAATACATATCTTCAATCTGTTAACTAAAATAGTAGCTTCAATTTTATAATTAGTCTGGCATAAACTAATCGGCCTATAGTTAGATGGAGTCAAAGGGTTTTTGATTTTAGCAATCAAAACTATAAGAGTATCCTTCCAATTCCTACTCATATGACCAGAGTTTAGGAAATCATTAATAGCCTACCACAATGCTTTCCAAACAATATTCCAACAGCACTTATAAAAAGAGGAAGTGACTCCATCCATACCTGGAGATCTGTTATTTCCTTGTTGAAAAACCGAAACATGCAGCTCGGCCACAGTGAACTCAGAACTCAAAGCAGCTACATCTTCCTGGTTCAGTTTCTGGTTCTCAGCAGCCACCGGCCAACCTGATAGCTCATACATTCTAGATTGCCGCTTAGCTTCAAAATACTATATAAAAACCTTCTCAATTTGATCATCTTCCTCTTGTATGTTGTTATGCACATCTTTAATTTGAACCACCCTATTCCCATTTCTTCTAGCTGTGTCAAAGTTGTGAAACAACTTTGAATTAATGTCTCCTTCCTCATGTCATCTAGCTTTTTCCCTTTGATTCCACCAAGTAGATAAACGCCTCAAAGTCACATTAAGCTCATGAACTTTTCTTCTTAGCAATATAAGATCCTCACCATTCCAACCTTCTCCCATAGCTACTTTGTTTTGAATTTCAAGTATTTCCCTTTTTAGATTTTTCTTAAGCTCATTCAAATCTTTGCACTTATTTTTACTCCAAAAAAATAATGCTTTCAACGTTCTTTTAAGCTTCCTCTGAAGGATAACACTTTTATCACCAAAATCATTCTTCTTCCAAGAATGATACACAATGCTTCTAGCCATTGGATAGGATCTCCATGTATCCTCAAATTTAATATTCTTCATCTTGGAACGCATCCTCTCATCCAATTTGAAGACAATTGGACTATGATCTGATGCCACTCTTGCTAAATGCCTAGTAAGAGCTGAAGGAAGCTTATGAAGAGCAACCAAGTTCACCAAGCACCTATCCAATCTTTCCCAAATCTGAGAGGCTCCTTCCTTGTTTTTGCACCAAGAAAACCTTGGTCCAATACCTCTCACATCATGGAAATCTGAGTTTGTCATAAAATGCTTCATATCTCTCGGCCCTTTGGAAAATAAGAACCTCTTACCTCCTCTCTTCTCCTCCTTGTTCAAGATACAATTGAAATCCCCACCAATGATAGAAGGAATAGAATCCTTCATACCCTCTTCAAGCTATCTCCAAAGATCCTCCCTTTCCTTGCAATACTGGCTCCCATAGACCGTGGCAACCTTCCAGGATCCCAAGCTAGGAACTAAGAGGTCCCCAATAATTAATTGGGAAGAAGTCTCCTTCACCACAAATGACACAATCTTCTTATTCCACAACACCAACACACCACCTGAAAGACCAATAGCTGGGACATTGAAAAATTCCCAATCATTCCCAATAAGGTAATCAACCTCCCTCCTATCAATGTTAGTCCTCATGGTCTCCAAGAGCCCAATAAAATAAACGTCCTACTCTCTAACAATCTCCTTCAGATACAAGGAGGCCTCCCTCTTCCTAGCCCCCCTGAAATTCCAAAATAACAGAGTAGACATTACACCCTTGCTGGGGATCCCTCCCCATTCATGGAACTCACCCTTCCATCCCTTCTCTTATTCTTGTGTCCTGTTTCAAGTGGTCCCAAAGATTTTAACTCTTTGGAAAGTTTAATCTTATTACCCCTACTGTAAACAGCCATACCAATATTCATTATACATGGATCATTTATATCCATTCCTATATCTCCAACACCATCAGCCTCCTCAATGTAGGGGGTAACCATGTCTTTCAGCTTATCAGTCTCCTCTGTGTTGTCCACAAGTTCTTCTCTGATATCATCAAGCAGAGCAGCATATTTGTTAGTAACAAAAATTGTTTGCATCTTATCTTCCACTGCTTTCTTCTGACCAGGCATTTTATCAAACACCATACCAGGAATACCTTCAGCACCTTCAATCTTCTTCTCAACTTGAATTACTTTCTGCACAAAGCTCTTCTGATTTTTATTCCCCATATTCTTTGTCCTGGTACCTTTATATTCATTCACTTATCTTCCAACACCTTTATCCTTAATAAAATGTTTATTCTAGAATTGAACATGTATCCACGGGCCGTATTCTGACTCATCACAGCGGGATTTGCTTCAGGAATTATCTTCATTGCTTCATCTTTATCAGCAGCTGGTTTACTAATATTCTGATCTGTAATCCCCTGAACAACACCATCAGGACATTCAACCTTATCATGTCCCGCTCGACCATAGTGATAACAAAGCAGATCAACCTTCTCATACTCCACCTGTTGAAAAAATCTTCCAGCGGATCCTTCTACCCAAAGTCCATTTAGCAGCTTTTTCTCCAAATTAATTTTAACACAGAATCGAGTGAATTCCTGCTTCCCCCATCGAAATGTATTTCCATCTATATACATCGGTATACCAAAACGAGATGCTATTCTTGCTATATTATCCTCATCCCAGTAGTATAACGACAAACAAGGGAATCTGATCCAAATAGGATCGGATATCCCCTTAAAGGAATAAGGATCGAAAAAAGAGGACCACCTATCCATACCGATAATATAGCCACCGACATACCACGGTCCACCATTGAGAATTTCCTCCACAAACTCCTCCGTCTTGAAAGAACAAAGAATCCAGTTCATGCCAATTGATGTTAAATGGAATCCGCCATACTTGCTCCATTGCCTTCTCAGTTCTATACTACAAATTGGGAATGACACATTATTACCCAAAACTTTAATTACAACAGAATTTCTCAGAACTTATTTATTTTTTCTTCCATATCCGAATTCAACCTAACCACAATCCTATCTTCCGATGATTCAACTTGTTCCCTACCAAAATCGATCTTGATGTGTTTCGGCTTTGTCCAGGCTTCAATAACCTCCTTCATATTTTCCTATTTATTGAGATCTTCCACCACGATTCCGCCATTCATAGACTCCTTTCTAGAATTCTTTCCAAGATCAAGATTATCTTCCCACTTTTGAACATTCACAAGTTTCAGATCATTATCCCCACACCAATCCTCATTCGTCTCAGAGGTTCCAGAAAAGCTATAATCATTCAAGAATCCATCACCCGATTTTGAAGAATCAAGAATGTGTGTACCTGGCATCATAGGATCCACAATCCTCCTAGCAGCTGCATTATCCACAATCGCTTTCTTTCCCTTGCCTTCAACCACAGGATGATGAGTCGGAGGTCTCACCCCTTCTCTAATAATCACCCCATTCGCGCCGCTACCAAAGGTTCGTAGAGGGCCCGGAGGTCACAAAGCAGCCATGACATTAGCAGAGAACTCCGATGATCATCCGGCGACTGCTCCACCAGCTTCATAAAAATAGGAGAATGTATTAACGAACACAATAATATTTGTTATTATCAAAATCATAGTGCTTAGATCGGGTTTGCAATAATCTCTCCCCATTTTTATAAAGGTAAACATTATTTTTTTTTTTAGATTTTTAAAAACTTTATTTTATCTAAACTGCCCCTTAGATGATAACCAACTATAAGAAAAAGGATGCAATTTTTTTTTAATTTAATATACAAATAATAACAATCAACACAATACTACTCCCCCTTTTGACATCATAAAAAGAAGGCAAAACATGAAAAAATAGAACAAAAATATGTATGAAACATAAGCATGAATACAACATAAAAGAAAGAAGATAAACACAAGAAGTAGTAGCATAAAAAATATGACAAAAATAATAAGAAGACAAAATCAAATTTTTGTTTAATCGATTTGCTCTAGTAAATGATAAATTTATCTTATTATTAGAAGAAATCAACAAGAAATGAATTGACCCACTGAAATTCAAAAAGGTTAGAAAATTTGTTATTTTAAACTCTAGCTTGGATTCCTTACAGTAAAAATCCTTTTTAAATAAAAATAAAAATCATAAAAGAAATTAGATAAAAAAAGTGATATTTTCAAACTTCGTGTCAAAAAAGTATCTAACAGAATAATATTGCAAACTAATCAATCAAAAATCTTGAATTTCAAATTCAATTGTAGGAAATATCAATTGGCACAGTGAGTCTTCAAATATTTTAAGGATTATAAAGAAAGGCAAGTTATCTCATAGTGGGCTCATTTTGTGTCTCTTTATCAGCTTTTGGCGCAAATTGCACATCTTTTGATTTTTGATTTACTTCATGCATCTTGTAATTATTAGGTGATTATTGCAAATCTTTTTAAGTTTTAGGCTCATTTTGTACCTCTTTTCATTTTACATGCTTGCTTCCTTTCTTAATCTTAAAAAAATTTCTAGTTTTTTTATTATCTTCCAAATATGAGAGAGGATAAACTCACTCTCTTACATAAGAAAGAGTAAGTAATAAAATTTATTTCTATCCATATGATAAATTTAAATAACTTGATTAAGAAAACTTAAAAGAGATTTAAAGACTTGGAATATTTTTTATATGAGATAGATTACTGTAGGAAGATAGAATACATTTCTAGTTAAAATTCCAATTCTTAATTTGAAATGGATTTTGATTACAAAAGAAAGTACACCATTAAAGGAGTTAGAGGAAGAGAAATAATCATCAATGTTTCTTCCTTTAATTATTTTAAAGGAGTCAATCACTACTTACATGTTTCTAAATAAAAATAAGGTAAAAGTGTCATTTAAAAACAAAATAATATCAGAAGTGAGTAGTGATCTAATTCTTAAAATACTGAACAAAATTAACAAAAATCAAAATTATACAACGAGAACACATAAATAGAAACAAACATAAAAAAAAAAATTAGAAACATATTGATCAAAAATAGAATGCATCAATTTCATGTATGAATGTCTATCACGCTTAATATGGTTCTTAAGGTGCTAAAGGTTTCAAAGGCTAGTGGTTTTGTAAAGAAATCAACAAGTTGATTTTCAGTGGATACATGGTGTAGCCCTATGTCTCTTTTGTTAATATAGTCCCTAATGAAATGATGCCTTATAACTATCTATTTTATCCTAGAGTGTTGGAGTATATTTTTTGAAATGCATATGTCACTAGTGTTATCACATAAGATTTGAATGGTACCTACAGGTAATCCTAAATCCAATATTTATTTCTTTATCCAAAGAACTTGGGTCACACAACTTCCTAAGGCTATTTATTAAGCTTCAACAATGGATAGGGAAACTGAGTTTTATTTTCTACTTGACAAGGAGGCTAAGGACTGTCCTCTGAATTAACATTTTCTAGAAGTGCTTTTACCATAAACTCTATATCTTGCAAATTAAGTTTGAATTAGAATATCCTATGATTTTAAAGGAAGTGATATGCCTAGGATATTAGATTCCTAAGTTTTGGGTTCCTAAGAGATATCTAAGATTTTTCTTTAAAGAAGTCAAGCGGGACTCTTTTGGATCTGCCTGAAATCTTACATAAAGATAAACACTAAACATAATATTAGGTCTCCTAGCAGTCAAGTAAAGAAGTGATCCAATTATTCCTTTATATTTCTTCTTATCAGTAGATTTTCCATTTGAATCCTTATATAACTGAATAGTGGAACTCACGAAAGTGTTTCTTAGCTTGGCTTTATCCATTTCAAATTTCTTAATAATATCTTTAATGTATTTTGACTAATTAAGAAAAATTTTATCATCCATCTGCCTTATACTAAATTTGAGAAAGTAGGTTAGTTCAAACATTATACTTATTTTAAACTCCTTACTTATTATTTTTAAAAATTTATCATATAGGTTTTTATTAGAAGATCCAAATAGAATATCATCAGTATAAATTTAGACAAAAAATAGTTCATCTCCTACCTTTTTAAGAAATAAGGTGGTGTCTATGCTCCCCTTAATAAATGTTCTCTCTAGTAGGTATAAGCTTAGTCTTTCATACCATGCTTTGGGTGCTTATTTTTGTCCGTATATTGCCTTTTTAATTAGAACACATGATTAGGAAATTGTGAATTCTTAAAGTTTATAAGTATTTTAATAAACACATCTTCTTTTATTACCCAATTCAGAAAGGCACTTTTGATTTCCATTTGGTATAGTTTAAATCTCTTAAGGCACAGAAAGGCTAGTAACACCCTAATGACTTTCAATCTAGCTATAGGGGCAAAGTCTCTTAAAAGTTAATCCTTTCTATCTATTATAACTCTTAGCCACTAATCTTGCTTTATTTCTAACTACAACACCAGAATCATTCATTTATTTTTTTAGTTCCAACCACACTTTGGTCCTTAAGACTTTCAATAAGTTCCTAAACATAATTCCTTACAAATTGATTTTTTTTTCTTATATGCCTATGATCCAAAATTTAGCAGATAAGGCTTCATTTAGGTTGATGGGTTCAGTTATTAAGATAAAGGTAAAGTGGTTTACCTTTTTTCTAAGTCCATGCCTAGTTCAAACACCTTCAAATTTGTCTCATAAGACTAATTCTTTAGGATGACTTAAAGAATATTTCAATTCTCTAGGCAATGAATTTTTAGGTTCTACCTTTTCCTATAAATTTACAGATTCTACTTCTTGGGTAATTTCTACAACTACTTATTCTTCTACCCTAGACCCTCTAGAATTATTATATTCATCAAATATAATATGAGTGGTCTCCTCTACTACCAGTGTTCTTTTATCAAAAAATCTAAAGGATTTTCCAACATTTTAGTACCCTAGGAATACTCCTTCATTAGATTTGGGGTCAAATTTTCATACTAGAGATTTCCCATTATTTGAAATGAACACTTTACATTGAAAGACATGAAGGTGAGAGATATTGCGTTTTCTACCCTTAAGATTTTAAAGGGTTTCTTATTCAGCTTGGATCTAACATTAACCTTATTCAGAATATAATAGGATGTATTCACTACTTCTACCCAGAAGTATTTAAGAAGTGAGTATTCAACTAATATGGCTCTTATGACTTCTACTAGGTTCATGTTCTTTCTTTCAGAAACCCCATTCTGTTGAGGGGTTCTAGGAGCTAAAAAAATTATGACCTATCTCTTTATCCTTACAGTATGATTCAAATATCTCATTCTCAAATTCTCCACCATGATCACTGTGAATTGTCAGAATTTCATAACCTAGCTTCCTATAAATCCAAGTGGATAATGATATATATTTCTTTAATGATTCACTTTTATGAGATAGGAATCTAACCCAGGTAAACCTCGAGTAATCATCAACAATCAAATACCCAAAGGCTTTCCCTCCTAGGCTTACAGTGCTAAGAGATCAAAAAAGATCCACGTGAAGTACTTCTAAAGGTTTGCTAATGTTAATGTCCTTAATTGAGTGGAAGGAGAATTTGACTTACTTTTTTAACAAATAAGTATCACACATGTGGTCCTTAGTGAACTCAAGTTTTGGTATGCCTCTCATTAAGTCTTTTTGTGTGATTTTCTAAGGTTTTTCATGCTTGCATGACATAATCTCCTATGTCATAACTAGTATTCATGAACAATAGTTTTTAAGTAAAAAAGAAGCACCAAGTTCAACACAATTTAAATCTAATATGTAAACATGTTTAATTATATTTAAGCTAACCATGAAGCTGGTAGACAAAAATATAATAATAAATCCTTTACCACATAGCTAACTTATGCTAAGAAGGTTATATTTTAAGTCATCTACCAATAAAACATTTTTTATAATGAAATTTTTTAGAGTTTCCAATTATACTTGATCCCACCACTCTCCTAGTCTTGTTATCTCCATGTGTCATGTTTCCTCCTGCCCTTGCCTCTAGAAAAATGATTTGATATGCATCTCTAGTCATGTGCGTTAACATCTATTGACTACATACCACATGCTCTCATGAGGCTTTCTGTGAGAGCATCCCTATAAAATCATCAGTTGTTAGGTTTGGCAACCAAAAAGTGTTTGGGTTCCACCTTATGGAATGTGGGATAAAATG